TATTGAAATCTCAACATAACTTGTAATTTTATTTTTGTACTTAAATTGCTAAAATTGTTGCAAACATTAAAAAAAACATAAAATTAAGAAATATTGGAATTAGTCGTCGATAAATATTTCTTCTGTGCAATATATAATTTTTCTACAAAATGATATTAAAGGAAGTAAATCTTTAAGGATTATTAAAGTCTCTGCAAATAAAATCATTTTGCCACGAAACTTCTCCGACAGGAATCAATAGATAATCAGCTATAACATCTCGTTGTTTATATGCTACATATTTAGATCTGTGAGCAGTACTAAATATGTAATGTTTTCGATTGCTCCAGAACATGTTTGTCTCCATGTTCCTGGAGTAATATTTTCATCTTCATCTTCTGTATCTAAGTAATTAGGAGGACAATATATTTTGTTTTCATTAGTATTTAAGTCATTTAACGTTTTCAAAAAATTACGGAGATATACTATTGCTATGATAATATTATCTATAAATTTTGGATGCATGCAAATAGGTTTTCTGAAAACATGCCATCGTGATGCAAGAATTCCGAAAGTATTTTCGATTATCCTTCTTGCTCGTGATAATCTGTAATTAAACATTCTTTTCTTTTTTTTTAATTGTCGTCCAGAATATGGCCTCATATTTGTTGCTAATTTAAATGCTTCATCTCCGACAAAGAAATATGGGATTTTTACATTACTCCCGGGCAAATTGAATTCGCCTTGTGGCAAATTTAAATCATTATTGCACAAAGTTTTGCCAATTTTAGATGTTGCAAATATTCCTGCATCACTACTGCTGCCATATGTTCCATAATCTATTAACGTAAATTTATAGTTACTGTCATATATTGCCACAAATACTATACTAAATGTTTTTTTTATAATTAAAATATAAAGTTGCAGAATTCGGTGATGCTTGTATTTGCACATGTTTGCCATCTATTGCTCCACAGCAATTGGGAAAGTTCCACTGTTTCCAGAATTCTTCACGTATTTGAAACAATTTTTCTTCAGATATATTGGTAACAATACTTGTATAATGTAACCATAAGTTTCTTTGATTATGTTGCGTGCTGTTGATTCGCCAATTCTATAGGCTAATGCAATGGACAAGATCTGATCCCCCCTTTTTTTTTTCTTTTTTTTGGTCAGGCAGGGGAAATGCATTACGCACACACCCCGGGACTTCACACCGCGCGGCCCATTCCCTCTTGGGGTGGAGCGGGGCCGGTTCGCCACACGGTCACCCGCCCCTTATGCCATTGGTCCCGGCCGACTTACAGGGGGAAGGAGCAGGCTTATATCGTCCCCCTCCTCCCCTGCGGTCAGGACCCTCCTATCCCGGCAGAGGGGGGGAGCGGCAGCGAGTGCGCCAGCAATGCCCCCCCCCCTCGATGGAAGGGCGAGCAACGCCGCCACCCCACCCCCTCTCCTCCGCCAGCCGCTCCAGGCGCCGCCGCCGAGTCTTGGCGGCGCCTGTCGCGGATGGAGGGACTGGAGCCGCCGCCTGCGGGCTTCTAGTGCCCTAGCAGCGGCAGCCTCCCTCCTCTGGCGTCTCTCTTTGCTCTCTCCTCCACTGGGGAGGCGGCCCGACGGGCGCAGCCGGCGCGGCTCCAGGGGAGGGTGGAATAACCCTTCCAGCCGCGCCGGCTTGCGCCCTCCTTCCTGGTGCCGCCACACCCCGTTGGTGTGCCGGCCGAGGGCGGAAGGCGCGGCGAATTCGCCCCCCCCCCCACAACCGTTTCCCCCCGTCTGGCCCTCTCCTGCTCCTCCTTCTGCGACATAACTTCTTCGCAGAAGGAGGTGACAGCTGACCAGGCTTCTCGCCCCCCTAGCATGGCCTTGACAAGGGCCGGGGGCGAGAGGTCCACTCCCACCACGCTTGCGAGGACACGGCGCTATCCCTCCCACGCCGAGCATTCGCCCAGCGTATGTTGCGCCGTGTCCTCAGCCGCATCGCAATGGTGGCAGCGGCTGGTGCACTCCTTCCGGACGACCCTATGCAGGTACTCACCGAAACAGCCATGGCCGGTGAGCACCTGGATCGTCCGGAACGTGAGATCTCCGTGTGCCCTGCCTACCCACTCCTGTAGGCAGGGCAGGAAGGCATCGGCGACCCTCTTCCCGGAGCGGCCCGTCGTCTCCTCCAGCTGCATCTTCCAGCGAAGGATGAGACGTTGTCGGGCCTGCTCCCTAGCGAGGGCTATAGCTCTGGCAAGTTCCGTCCCGTTGTTGTTCCCCCGGCGGAGCTCCCCAGTACGCCGATAGTTTTCGGCGTACATCATAGCAAGGAGCTCCACCGGAGGGATTCCTGCCAGGGCCGTGGCGGCCGCGTGCAACGTGGTCCTATAGACCCGGGCGAGACGAGTGGCCATAAACCTCTGGGCCCGGCGGACTATTTGTTGGATCCGCCGGGACCCGGCCATCTCCCCCGCCCAGATCGGAACTTTGTATAGGGCCACCGAATGGACCACGTTCGCAAACAGCCGCCTAGCCCGCCTTTTCGGGCCACCGACGTTGAGCAGGAGGGCACCCGCCATTCTGCCCAGCTTGGGGGTTAACACCTCAAAATTTTTCTCAAACCCCCAAGCGCCATCCAAGGTGAGCCCGAGGTACTTCATCTCGGTACCCACCCTCACGGAGATTCCGCCGATCCGGAGCTTTAATCGAGGTGGTCTCCCCCTACTCCCGTCATGGAAGAACAGAGCTTCCGTTTTCGGGGGAGACACCTCGAGACTCATGCTCCGGATGGAGTGCACCACCTGGTCGAGGGCCAATTGCCCCATATCCCTGGCCTGTTTCCAGCCCCGTCCCTCGGCCGCCACTAATGTGTCGTCCGCGTAGCAGACAACGTGGCAGCCGGAGGGGAGGGCGGTCCAGAGGACCTGGTCGTATGCGATGTTCCACAAAAGAGGGCCGATTACTGACCCCTGCGGAACACCGCAATACACCCCCCTTCCGCATTGGAGTTCCGCTTTATTGCGGAACTCCAAGCGCCTGCCCCGGAAGTAGTCCCTTATTATGTGAACCAGGTAGGGCGAGAACCCAAAGTGGGCCATTCCCGCGTCTACCTGGTCCCAGGGGAAGGTATTAAAGGCGTTGGCTATATCAATTGATATAGCCAACGCCACCTTCCCCTCCTTCACGATGGCCTCCGAGAGATACCTGACGCGCTTGATCGCGTCCACGGTCGATCGGCCCTCTCAGAAGCCATACTGCGCGTCGCTGAGCGCGGGACCATTCCGGGATAGGTGCCGGACGAGGCGGGCTTTCATGATTCTTTCGAACATTTTGCCCGCCTCGTCCAACAGACACACAGGTCTGTATGCGGAAGGAGTGTCCTCCGGCTTGCCCTCCTTGCGTAAGAGGACCAGTCTGGCCCTCTTCCATGGGGCCGGAAACAGGCCAGCCTCGAGGCAGAGGGAGAAAATCCGCCTAAGGCGGCCCCCCAACCTCCCCTCTTAGGCCAAGACCAAGGCCCATACTGGGCCCGGGATGCCGTCAGGGCCCGGCGCCTTTCTCTTGGCGCCGAGCCTCTTGGCGGCTCGCCTCATCTCCTCCATCGTCAGCTCCTCCTCCTCCCAGTCGAGAGGGGTCCCGTATAGAGTGGGATGTTGTTACCCACCCTCGGGAACAGCCACTCCACTATTTTGTCGAGGAGCTCGGAGTTAAGGGTGTTCGTAAGTGGGGGCGTCCATGGGCGCAATCGCCGCATTACCATCCGGTATGGGCGCCTCCACGGATCCCGGTCTACGGAGAAGATGAGGTTCTCCCAGGCCAAGGCCTTGGCCTTGGCGATGACCCTCCTTACGGCGCCTCTTCTCGCCGTGAGGACGGCCGATGCCGTCACCCGCGCGTCCCTGTCCCGCAGGACCACCATCGCCCTCCAGGCACGGCCGGCGAAGAGCTTGAGCTCGGCGATCTCCGCCGACCACCAATAGGCGGCTCTGCGGGCTGGGGGGGGGAAAGAGGACCCCCCCCCAATAAACTCGCGCGACCCGGTTACGGACCTCACTTCGTCCCAATTGGTCGCACAGATGGCGGCCACAAACTTGTCGCGGTCGAGCGAGGTTAGCGCCCACCTTGGCGGTCGGGTTGCCCCGCTGCTGCGCCTTGAGAGTACTTTCCGAGGGGCGACGACGAGACGGAGCTCTATGTACCGGTGATCAGATCCGGTCTCCGCCTCGGTCGCCACCCTCCATCTCTGAACCTGTCGGGCGGCTGCGGGGGAGGTCCACGTCAGATCGACGATGGACTCCCCCTGCCATCCGACGAAGGTGCTCTCCCGGCCTCTGTTTTATAAGCTGAAGCCGGTAGACGCAGCCCACTCCTGGAGGTCCGCGCCGCGGGGCCACGTCCCCGGGGGACCCCACACCGTGTTGTGGGCGTTGAAGTCCCCGGAGACAATGACCGGCCTAGGTAGGCGCCTCATTATGAGCGCCTCCAGCCGATACAACAGTGCCCCGAATTCAGCGCGGGTCCAGGAAGGCGGGGCATAACATCCGACCACATCTGTGGGCCCCCACTCGACCGCAACGTAGCCGCCCCCCCCCCTCGACGAGCTTCATCGGGAGGGAGTCGCAGCCAATCCCCCCAAAGATAGTCACCAAGCACCCACCCCTCTGGTCCCGGGCGTCCCCTAAAATGGAGGACGATTGCTCCGGGACCGAGTAGGGCTCGGCGGCTACCCCAATCCCAGCACCGCGCTCGCGCAGCCCTTGGACAAATAGGTCCTAGGCCGCTCGAGCGCGGCGCAAGTTGGCCTGGAGGAGAAGTGTACCTATTGTGATGGTACACTCTCCCTCTCTTCCAGGCCAACTCCTGCAGTTACTGCGGGCTTCATAATGGGGGAACGGGATCTACTGCCCCCGCTCCCCTCATTATCAGCCCCTCCTTTGCCACCACTCCCCCTCCCAAACCTTCGTCGGGGTCTGCTTGACCTCTGGGGAAGTGATCACTCAAACTCCTCCCTTTGATTGGGGAGGGACCTGTCCCTTTTAGGGGCAGAGGGCGCGCACTGTTGCGAACGCCCCCTCCTGCACCCTTTTAGCGGGGCTTCCCTCTCCTTTACTGAGGAGACGCCCACTCTTTCCTTCTTTGGGCAGCTGAGGGGGAGCGTAGCCCGACCCCTTGCCCTCCTTCTTTCCCCTTTTGCCCTCTATCGGGCAAAGGAAGATACCCATGCGATGGCCACAGGATCTTTTGGCGTCGCGGCAGACAGGGCACTCAACCTGTCCGCCACATTCCGCCGTCCTGTGGCCATCCCGACCGCAGCGGTAACAGAGTCCGCTGCAGTCCATCACCGATGTGTACGTTGCCCTCACGTGGCCCCGCTGCATGCACCTGTAGCATTGCAGCGGGCGCCCCGCGAGGGCCTCCACACGGACGGTGGTCCACCCCACACGGAGGCGGCCACCGTCCAGCACCTTTTTGGCCGAGGCCAACGGGCACTGCACCCACATGGTGCCCAGTCCGTTGGCCCCGGCACGTATTGCCCCAACCTTAACATCTTCGGGCCCGCAGCCCCCAGACAACGCGATAGCAGTGATGACATCCTCCATCGTCATCGCGTCGTCCAGGTCGCGGACCCGAAGCTCGACCCTCTTCGCCGGTCGCGCAATGCGCACTTCCTTCTCCTCGGCGAAGAGGGTCCTCATCCTACCGGCCAGCGCGTCGGTTTTCGCGTAACCCTCCGGACCGGAGACCTCCAACACAAGGGCGCCGGTTGCCGCCCTTTTGGTGCGGAGGTCCCCGATCCCGAGGTCCGCCAAACTTATCTCCCTCCTCGCTCGGCGCATCACTTCGGCGTACGTGCCCAGTGGGCACGTCACCGATATAGCGGCCGAGCGAGGAGGTTTAGAGAGGGACGGAGGGGGCTTTGTGCCCCCCGTTTGTTGTTCACTCCTTCCCTCCCCCCCCCCAGCCCCGGGCCGGCGCACGCTGACGCCGCCGCTCGGTCTCCGAGGCCGCTCGGGATGCTACCGAGGGGGCTCCTTTCTGCCCCCCGCTCCATCCCCTTCTTTCTCCCCACCACCGTAGCCCATGTCTCCTTGACCGGGCCATTGGCGTGGGGAGCAATCGCCCACAGGAGGGCGCCGCCAAGATCTCGCGGCGGCTCCTCCTTGTGTAGGCCAGTGGGTTCAAGGCGGGGGGGGGCAAAGCTCGCCCCTCGCCCCCACCTTCCCTGTTCCTCCTCTTCTTCTTTTTGGAGGAAGAAGACGTCGTTGTCCCCTCCATGCCAGGCTCCGGCGCCTTGGCCGTGGAGGGGGGGTCAGGAGCAGCCGCATATCGGCCCCGCCCCAAAGGCACCCGCACCGGCGGCTGTTCGTCCGGCCCGCGCCGCCCCCGGGGTCGTATCCGAGACGCGCCAAGATTCGGGGAATCGCTATTTCTAGCAACAACTCGAGGGCAGTGCCCTCCTCCTCCCCGATATCAAGGCACGTCCCGCCATAATCCACGAGAGGGGGCCACCGCTGTTGTTGCGGCCGTTGTCGCTGCCGTCGCCCTCCCTCCTCGGCTGTCCCCTTTGCCGCTCTTGTTGATGCGGCTGGGCGGCAGCTCGCCCTCCCTGCTTGGGCCGGGACTGCTGTTGGCGCAGTACACGCCCCGGCCCCTGTGGCTGTTGTTGGCTGCCCCTAGTCCGTCCCCATACATCCGGGAGGGAGACGGTCTTTCCCCCGAGAGGATGCCTGATGGCCGGAAGGACTTTGCTATCTCTCCGGTCCTTGTCAACCTCCTCCCTGAGGTGCCTCCCTCTTTCTTCCTCGTCACTCTTACGGTGAGGAGGGGCGGGTCGGGGATTGTGACTCCAGTCGTCCAACTCCACCTCCATGGGTACATCTCCTCCCGGAGGGGGAGAGATAAGGAGGGAACTCACCCCACCCCTCCATTTATTTCGGTGGGCAACCTCCTCCTCAGAGGAGAAGCCCGATATCACCGCCTCCGTCGACCTCTTACGGCCGGTGGGCACACGGCAGGAGACGCAACAGCCCCCCTTACTTAGGCAGGAGGACTCCACAAAACCCCCGGCCTTTTCCAGCCTTGCGATCCTGGCCCTGAGGAGGCGGTTCTGCAAGCTGAGCTCGTCAAGTTTCCGCCTCAACAGGGCCTTGGTCTCCCCCGCCGCGGAGCCAGGCACGGCCCCCGGCTGTCCGGCAACATTTTGGGCCCTTACGGCGAGCGTGGTGCCACAGGCCGAGAGTTCCTCGGCCGCTTTCCACAGCTCGCCCAGGAGGGAGCCTTTGATGTTGCTGGACTTCTGAGCTACCTTCATTACGGTGTCCACCGACTGGTATAGTCTGGTGGACACCTCTACTGTTTCCATGGCCCTATGGTCGCGGACCATCCTCTCCGCTGTCTTCTCTAGGGCCCTATCAACTCTAGGGCCGTAAGGCCTCCTGGCTGCATCGGCAGCGTACTCCACCACCTTAGCTAGCTTCCTGTCCTGGATGGCCTTCTTTTTTAAGGCCATCTGGTCGGCCGTGAATTTCCCCTCGTGAGAGGGATCCTTACACGGCCGACCTTGTTTTTTCACCGGACTCTCGGGGGTGAGAGTGGGGACCGACGAGTCCTCCACCATTGCGGCAGTCCCGCCGGCGGCGGTCTCCGGGGAGGCCGGTATTGCCGCCTCTTCCTTCACCACCACTATCTCCAGCGGCCCTTCCTCAGCCGCCGCCCACTTTAACGAAGACGCTTGGCTATCTACCGAGTCGTCCCTCCCTCTCTTGCACTGTCCCGGTGCAAGAGGGGACCCTTGGCAGGCTCTTTCGGCCACGTGAAGTGCCTCGTGAGGCCGATCGAGTCCTCTCCGGGCTGCCAGCCGCCTGAGCCTGATCTTCAGCCCGAGCTTGGCTGCCAACCCTGGTGCGCGATCTGGTACGACGCGCTGGTCCGCCCTTACTGCAGGGCGGATCAGGAGAAGTCCCGGAGGGTTGCTCCTCTGGTTGCTCCCCCTCCTCGGCGTGGACCGCTGCGTGGGTCCCAGCAGGGCTGGTGGACGGCCCTGCTCCGTGCGTTGGACGCCGGCGACGCAACTGCGCCCTCCTCTACACTTTTCTCCCCCTTATCCCCGGTTTTTGTAATTGAAGTATTTATTTTTAGGTTGCCTGCCTCTTGTCACCCGTAGGCTTATAGGGCGGGCCATGATAAGTGGAGGAACTAGATACCCCCCAGGCGGAGCCCCACGCCTGGGTTCGGGCTGAATACACCCAGGGTGCGCCAGGTGCCCCGGGGTAGACCGCTCGAGACCGACTAACCCGCCGGCCACTCATCTTATCGCCACGGCTTCCAAACTTAGGATTGGGGGGGTTTTTTATAGAGGTCCCCGTCCTCGCGGCTCAGAGGTATTTAAGCCAAGGTCCTCGTTCCCCCAGAGGAGCGCTATAGACATGACATAACGATCTCCGAGGGTTTACGATGTGTACAGGTCCGACGTTGTCGGACCTGCGCTGTAAGGGTCCTAGCAAATACCACGCAGACCGCTAATGCTCCCCGTGCGCAGCTGCCCACACGGGGGGGGGGCCTCATGGCCGGCCACGCCGCTATATGCGACCGTGACCAGGAGGAGTCGCAGGGTTGCCGGGGTGCGGCACCTCTCCACTAAATGTGAGGAGGGCCAATGTATCAGTCCCTGCGACTCCACCTCCCGTCCCGCCAGCCCGGAGTTAACCTTCGGGTAACTCCGACGGAATGGCCATCCCAGGGTGCGCGACCCCGACCTCGGAATATGAGCGGCCCGCGCACCCCTCCCCCCCCCGGGTTGTCGGAAGCTACCGACGTGCAATCCCGGGTGTGGGTTCCTCTCCTCACTCTACTCAGGCCGAAGCCCGAGTAGGGACGGATCGAGGGTGTCCCGCACTTTCAGCTGCCAGACCGGCGTGCAATGCCTACTGGTGCGGAACTTTCTCCTACCCCGTGACGGGAAATTACCCGCCGCGGAGCGGAAGTCCCCCCAACTCCAAACCCGCTCGAAGACTGGCGGTGGAGCAAGCTCCATCTAACGGCCTCAGCCGGCCGGGCGATTGGAATCAGGGCCGCCAACCCCTACCGGCAATTGGGCCCATCGGCCCTGTAGGAGTTGCCGGGCTCCCCTGCAGTGGAGGGTCTTACGTTCCCCTCTAGCAACCGCGGGGCTGTAGCCCATTAAGGTCCGGTTTTCTGTGGGGGTTTTCCTTCCCCGTTGCCGCCGTTCGCCAGCGATCCTCAGGTAAGGGCCTCCCTTCCGGCCAAAGCCGAAAGGTACTGCCGCCGAGCCATCATCGGATCGCCGGTACCCCTCCACCACGATAAGGTGGCGGCATAGAGGGGAAGATCTGATACCCTGTGGCAAGATATCTTCAACAATAAATATAATTTATATTTAAATATGTATTAAACACTTCTTTTATATTATATATATATATATTTTTTCTATTTATTAAAATGTGTACCTTAGAGTTAAAGCAAGGCAGAGTTCAGGTAGTAAGACTCGATGACTGTTTTTCGTCAAAAACGATTGTAACATATTTAAAAGTTGATTAAAAATACGTAATGTCATCCTAATATACCAGAAAAATATATAAGGATCAGATTTCATTTCTTGAAGTAAATTATTATAATCTCCTTGACGAACACGTTCTAAGTTAATTGGTCGTACCCAATATTTTCTATTAGACCAAAGAAAAGATATTCGTTTTTTTAATATATATGTACCGATAATCAATATAAATAATGTATAGGTCACCATTTCTTCTATCTCGTCCATTGTCTATAAAATAAATTTTATACACTATTTTAAAAATACAAATATATGATATTAGGAGATTTTTGGCAATCGTTTGGTACATGTACCTGGTTGTCATTGGCTTAATTTATATCAAACATTTAATATATGTACTAAATATCTGTACAGTATAAATATTCAAATTACAATTCTAGAGACGTCACAGAGATATATCTAGATATCTCTGGAAGATATTTTGGATATTTGTGTGCTGTATGAATTTATACATATATTAAATATTTGTTTATATTAAATATTTATTAAATATTATTTATACATATATTAATACATATATTAAATATTTGATGTAAACTTGCCCAGTAACAACCTAGTACATATACCAAACGTTCGCCAAAAATCGCCTATTATGTGCCGATCATTATAGGTTATATTGGGTGTCCGATTAAATCAATTATCGAAATATAACCAAGTATTAGGATATTTTAAAATGTGTACTTTACAATCAAAGCAAGGCGGAGTTCAGGTGGTAAGGCTCAATGACTGTTTTTCGTCAAAAACAGTTGCAATATTTCTAAACGATGATTACAAATGTTACGTGAGTGACATAGTAATGTTACATGGACATAATACGTGTTATGATTAGTGGGCGTAACACGTTAAGTTTCCTATGTGCCTTGCCTTTTATGCTTACGGCTTAAGTCTTACTGCTTAAGTTTTTCTGTGTGCCACGGCTCTTACAAGGAAACGGTCGTCCCTCACCGAATTTGATGAGCATTGGATATGTTGTAGAGCATCAAAAAACATTAGACACGTATTTTTTTTATGTGCTTATCTCGAGGTTTAGGGGTTGAAACCACCCCTTGAAAAAAACGGACTTTTTCATTTTTATTTAATATTTCCTAAAATATGAGGTATATGAAAAAATATTTCAGACAAAAGTTTTACAGTATCTTATGCCCTTTCCATCGGTCTATTCAAATTTTTTTAAATGCAATATTTCACCCCCCCCCCCTCCCTCTCCCCTTCGTCACCTTTGCAAATTTTTAAGTTTTTGTAAGGACAAAAATTAAAAAGCAT